AGTCGCAATAATAGTACAGGCAGCGTCGCCAAACGCTGTGATAATAGACGAAAAAAACAGCAACGTCACCTGAAATAGTTCGGAAAGTGAAGGCTAGACTTAAACGACGCAATGACAAATCCACGTCGTAGTGGTAATAAATAACCAAAGAACTGAAAATATCCCACGGAAGCATCTGAAGCATTTTCCAAAATTAGCTTAAGGTAAAGTCTTACAAGTACCTAAAGGCACAAGATCTTACAGCAAAACAACAAAAAGTTAGACTCGAAAGAGGAAAGTAGTTGTTACGCTTCGACGAATGTGGCGAATTTCTAAACATTGTGCTCTTTGATGAGAAAAATTTCTTTATTGAACAAGCAGTTCATAAACTCTAAAACTGGTCGTGTTTACTTAACTGAATGCACTGCCGAAAAGTTGAGACTACGAATGGCCACCCGAAGTAATTTTCAAGTAATCTCAAGTAATGGTATGAACAGCGTACTTAGTGTCAAAGTCCATTCATGCGTTTTATTATTAGGAAAATGTTTTAGAAATTTCTTTAGAGTCATAGGCATGCATATATTTCGGTCGTAAACCATGGAAATTCCAACAAGACTCGGCACTGGTCTCGATCTCATAAAGCTCGTGTCAACCAAAAATGGTTAAAAAATCATGTCCATAAATCATGACTAATAAATCTGGACCAGATTGGAGAGCAAAGTGAGGACAAAAAATTATGACGGTATGGATGCGCTGAAGAAAGCCGTTGTTCAAGAATGACCCAATTACCGGTAGATTGCATTCGTGAAACATGCTATTCATTTTTTAACCGTTTGAAGGCCGTAGTCAAGTCAAAAGGTGACCACATCGTGCAAGAGTGAATGGGTTCTGAACTATTGATCTATTTTAGTAATTTGAATCAATTACAAAACACAAAAGAGATCGACCATATCTCTTTTTGAATAGGGAACACTTCAATCGTCTAACCCTGTATTTTATTATAACAAGAAACTATGGTACAAATATTTAACCAAGCTTATTATGTTTTAGGTAAATATTAAATTTTAGTGAATAACAATAATATTCCAGTGTCATTACAAGTTTTGGTTAAACTCTATTAATTGTAATAATTACAATAAACTTTATTAATTTTTTAATACTTTTAAACATTCATTTTTTAGTTAATATTTTTAATTAAACATTTAATTTTTAACCGGAAAACAATTCCATTAACATTTCGCTTTGCTCAACCACAGCGACCACGAAATGGCAAATAAATAAATTAATAAATTAAAATCATTTTTATCATTATTTATTTTGTATAATTGAAGATATTTTAAAATCGAAAAATTTACTTAATATTACATTTTTTAATTTATTATTTTGGTTTTATTTACTCGTATTTTTTTTATTTTTTACTTTATAATTTCAAATAAATGTTCTTCTTATAGATACACTGTCATGTCTGGCACACCATCAAAAATGCTGGAGCATTTACTTGAGACACGTCTCGGTAGTCAAGTGAGTGGTATGGATCCCTTCCTAGATGACTTCCTCCTAACGCACATAGTTTTCATGCCAGTTGTGCAGTTAGTGGATGAATTGGCGAACTAATATCCTTTTCAAACAAATTACAAATTTATAACTATCTTAAGGTTACATAGTAGAATTATGGTATAATACTTCACTGAATAGAATTTTAAATAACCTCAGCCTTTCATATTACCCGATGAAGTATGTATTTACTTAATTCCTTTAGGTCACCACGTACAGGTCATTATTTTGTTTAGTTGCAAGAGTTGCGCCGTAGTAAAAACTTTCAGTGATTATTTTGCTTAAGAGGATTTTGTTCAGACAAAATTGTTCATAAATTGAAATATTAAACTTTTAAAGAGTTACGGTTTTCCTTCTAGTTCTTAAATACTTAATATATTTTATTAATATAAAATATATGAAAATAGCAATTTAAAAAAAAAACCATAATGATATTTTATAATTTTACTTTAAGAACTTTAAGATTTTAGTTATTGTTTATTAATTTTTTTATAGATTCTTAAACATATTCTTCAAATCTAACTGAACAGAAGACTTTCTCCTGTTTGAATGAAAACCAGAATGTCAGTTATTGAGTACATGCGACATCGGAATATGATATCCGATATATTCTGATGTATGACATCAGAATATGTCATCGGAATTTAATATCAAAACATGTAATAAATAATAATCTATAAAATAGTATATTTTGACTTCTGCTTATATTACATGAGTCCTTAAATTTTTGCTTATCAAAAATTTAAGTGTTTACACTTTTTAAGTGTTTACACTTAAAGGTTCAGAGTTTAGAGTACAGCAAAATAAAAGATAAACGAAAAGTTACTTATTTTTTTTAAATTTGTTTTTGAATATGATTTGCATATTTTCTCATTCTTTAGAGTTAAATTTTTTAACATAAATATTGAAATAATTCCATTCCCTCTTCTCTGCTTTGAATTTTTTAATTATATAAATTTTTATGATTAATTCATTAACTTATAAATTTTATTTCTAAATTTGATAGAGCTTTTTATTTGAAATATGATTCGCAGTTTTATTTTCTCTTTATTTTCATCAAAACTTACACTTGTAATTCTCATAACGATATCTTGCGAGGCAGGATTTACTAAGCCAACGAACTTAAAAAATAAATGCGCACTTATCTTGTACATTTTTGCATGGATTGTGTGTACATTCTGTATAGATAATATAACTGCACACTACACACTAATTGAGATAATCACATAATAGTGCTAAGTATCATAGTCTAAACACACTATAAGTTTAGTTTTAATTTATTGCGGGGCGATCTGATGTTTTTAGCCTTTAGTGAGTAGTTTCCAACTTTTTTACTACACATACTATACTTGAATATATTCGAGAATTTTCAAATTTCCGTATTTAAGTTAAAAAGTTAAATATAGTTATTAAACTTAAATATTTTTTTAAATAAAATATTTTTTTTTGTTGAACATGCATTCGTATTTCAAAATGTATATGATTTAAGTAGGTTGCTAACCAGAATAACCTTTGACGGATATATGAGGTTACGAACATTTTTCCTTTTTTTTTTTAAATGTATTTATTTGATCTTCAATAGTTGTATTCGAACATTTTAGTAAAGAACTGACTTATTCTCTTTGTATTATTCAAAGATTTTCTATATGTGCTTTTATATATGATTTCCTATATGAAGCCACTTTTTTAATAGAATATTAACTAGCAAGATATGTGTTTATTTAGTTACTTAAGATAAGTTATACTTATATTGGTATTAAAATAAACTGAATTTTGAATTGTCAGTCCATCTCTTTTAAAGTAGTCGCCCTTTGATACTACGTTCTTATGCCACCATAATTTCTAGCTTGGAAAATATTGTTTAGATCTGATACATGATTTCGTCTTCTTCTCAACTGTCAAACCACATTCTTCTTTGAGTTTGGAATATAAATAAAATTGCAGGGTATCCTATCATTAGCACAGAACAGTCGCGATATTACAGTGATGATATATTATTTTTTTATCATTTTATATAAAGAGTATTTGTGATTAAAGGCATTCTTCGCTTTAAAAATGTAATGTCAAACTTTCTTCTGTTGTATATTCAACTAAATAATGGTGTAATGTTGTCACCATTACTTTTATTGGTCATTCCGGAAAGCTCAAATCAATCTGGTATTAATCAGTTCAATAAAATCATGATATGAAGCAATGCATGTAAATCATTAAATCCACAGAAGTCAGTTAAGTCTTTTTTTTGAGCAAGTAAGATTGTTAAATCATTTGATACCCTATTCCAAATAATTCCACACTCCACACTTAATCAAATTTTTGTATTTTTTAAGCAATCTTTTAGATTGAAATAAGTTTTTAAAAATAATAAACCTTTAACCTTCTCTCATGTGATGCTTATTATGTTGAGTGTTGATTCAATATGCATATAATATACCAGTTCTTACTTCGTAGTAATTTCGTAACTATTGTGATTGTTACTTGACTTCAGTAACTTTACTTTATTTATCAACTGTTCATATTATTTGTTGTTTTATTTTTTGAGATTTGAAAATTTCACAATTGGAAGTTGTGTATATTTCACTTAAATCGTGCACAGAATACAATTGTACTCGACTTCAGTAATGAAAAGAACACACTTTCAATGGTAAAATTTTACAATTCCTAACAAAACAAATTACTAACCAAACAATTGCAAACAGTTGCTACAGTAAGGATTCACTTATTTGCATTTAAATGAAGTAAAAACTGCAGTAGTCCAACTTTTGGCTTGGATATTAAAGCAAGTTTCACTTAAGTTTAATCTGTGGAAATGTAAAAACTTGAAAAATAAATTTGTGAGAAATACAAAAGGAACAGGAAATAAGACTTTTCGTGAAAAAAACCTCATAAAAAGTTTATTAAAATTACTTCCCCATACTTTAATCTAGGGATTTTGTAATACAAAGTACCAAATCCAATCACGTCGTTTTTGTAATTACAACAGGAAGAAAACTTAATTTTAGTTTGTCAGAAAATAACAAAACTAATTTACATCGTAAATTTTAAACTCATTTTACGCTTTCTCATCTTAAGCATTATACTTAAGATTATATCAGCAAGAGATATCTTACAATACAATACAAGAAAGGTAACATAGATAGATCATCACTGACAAGTCATCAGTAATAAGTATTCCAAAACTACAACAATCTAGAGAAATGGTTATAAAAAATTCTTATTAAGAAATATTAATGAAAGCTATTATCATATTAAAGAGTACAATGATACAGAATCCTGTTTAAAATCTCATGTTTATAGTAATTAACGTCTCAATAGGCTAACATCTATTAGCTCGTAGGAAGAAACACAACTGCATAAGAGCTATTAATCCGAAATTATAACAAAGGACAAAGGTATGATAAGTAGTTACTTGTCACGTAAGACTCCTTTAAATTATGCTATGTGTCCTAAACTGCAACTATAAAACTCATGGCACCATCCATTTGTTTAATTATCCTATTACTTAATTATATAGAAGTGAATCCAATGACTTTTTTTCACTGAAATAGCAACATTTTTGAAAGTTTAAATTAACTAATGTATGGAACTTGTAACTGTCACTATGACTTTCTCAAGTCTTTTGGCCTCATAAGGCTATGGAAACTATACACCTTGGTTTCGCATGCCTTTTAACTTTATTCTACTGCTTTGTGTTGGATAAACTGATGGAAACCAACTACATTATCTTCTCAAGGCTTTGCTAATTCGTATTACTTTATTTTAAGTAACTAACTGGAGTCTAATACTTTATTTGTAATTATTTATTAATTTTCAAGACATATTTTTTAAAGAAAAATTTAAAACAGTTCAATACATATAAACTACTATAAACTAAACTACTATAACATATGGATATAAATGAGTACACTACGTCGTTCAAATATTAGCAAGTTCAATCATCACATGCATATATCATCCAAAAAGTCTTTAAGTGTTTTAATCTTCTAAAATCGTCTATAATATATTCAAAATATTTCTGTTTTTTAAATTATAACACGATACCGCTTTAAAACTTTAGGGGCTTTCTTTTTGAAGATCTTGGCGAACTTCAGATCCTCCCTCTGAATAGCATCATAAGCTTTGCCAAAGTTTTAAGATAGTTTTAACCCTTGAGTTTTTAATAATATGATAGCACAATGGCCTTCCGACCTAAGTGAATCCCTTGAGATCGCTGGTATAACCTAACCTAACCTAACCTAAATTATGACAGTGATATTAGTTATATATTTATATATTAATAGCAGATTTGAGAGCGTGTTTTTTAAATAAAAAATATAAATAAAAAATAATAAAAAAAGTAAAAAAAAAATAACAATACACTTATAAAGTATTGCATTATTGATTTTTGACTTTATATACAAACGTATATGCATATATGAAAAAGTCCTTAACTCCTTTGCACTTTTCACTGTGATATCAATGATGGTTCGCATACTCCCGAAGATCGGGAATACATAATAAATTTTAAGAAGCGTGTCGTACATTTTATGCAAAAGTGGGTTATGGCTGTACGTCATGCGGCTTTTGAAGAACCCAGTGTCTGTGATTTTATAGAGGTAATTCTCAATATATACCTTTTAAAATACATAATGCTTATATTTAACATTTCATATTTTTGTTTTTTTTTTTGTGTTATCAGGATTTAGCTGCAGAAATTGAAGCTGATCCAGATTTACACGAAGAAACAAGTATTATACATAATGTATTAACACAAATGGCACGTTATCAAGAAGATCGTAATCAGAATGCTGGACAGAAATGGAAACTACCACCCAATGGTCAACCAATCTGTTTGTTCAGTGGTAATGCTACACCATCGAAAACTGTCATACGACCAGATGATGATAGTAAGTTAACAAAAAAAATTTATAAAATGAACTGCATGAGTGTTAACATTAGGTAAAAATATAGTTTTGCGACAGTAAAAAGAGATTATATATAAGTTATCAGGTTTCTTAAACAAAAAATAGGAATGAAATCCATTAACTAACAACTCTAGGCTTTTCCAAAAATAATCCCTTTCTCAAAATATTAAGTTTCAATTTAAATTTATATCCAAAACTCTACTTTCACTAGCATCAAGACATAAAGTAACCATACAGCGATCTCACAGTTAATCTAGGCTATGAGCAAATATAACCCACATATTTTTAATTAAATTATTTCATTCTTTTATAATAAATTATTTAGATTTTAATAAAATATTAAAAAGATTCTTATATTTATTTTTTCTTTATTTAATTTATTAGTAATATTCCGGGTATATTGTGCTGATCACACATACTGCACACTACGTTTTCCTCTTCATACAACCGCCGAATTAGTCAAAGCCTGTGCAGCAGATAAACTACAATTAAATCGAGGTCCTGATGACTTGGTTATGGTGGAAGTAAAATCAAATGGTGAACGTTGTGTCTTTAAGGATAACGATGTTAGCATACCTACGGGCTTAAGTTTAAATGGACGCCTTTTTGTTTCAGTTAAGGATCATTTAGATGCCTTGGTAGGTTATATTTTAATGTTGAAAAGGAAGAGTGAAAATTTATTGTATAATATTTACAGACTCCTTTACCGGAACAAGAGGGTCCAACGGAGGGAATTGAAATGGACTTAGAAATTTTAAGCACCAAAGAAATAGCTTACTATATAACATTATTCGATTGGGATCTGTTTTGGGCAGTGCACGAATATGAGTTATTGTATCACACCTTCGGCCGTCATCACTTTGGCAAGGTAATTGAAATATTTTCAATTTCCATGTAAATATTTTATTAATATATTCATGTGCATATATTCATATGAACATATAATATTAGTAATTTATGTGTACAATTTCAAAATATTTTAAATTCGCAATGGCCATTAGGCACTCATAGAGGAAGTCATGCAAAAATTTATATCAATTTTGAGCAATTTGAACTTTATTGAAATATTGAAGCTATGGCTGAAGTAATTAAGTTTAAAATATTTTATACAATTTATATAAAACGTTAAATGTTTATAGTGAAATATTTAAACGAGTTCAAAACATTTGTAATATATTGAAAATTAAATAATTTATTATTAAGTGAAGTGTTTGTGGTATCTACCATAGACTACTTCAAATTTGAAAACAATTCTATTTTGTGTGAAGTGCAACATCATTTGGACTTTAAGGACTTTAAATAAATAACAAATATTTTTGAAAGGTCTGTCATTTAATTAATTTGATTTAATAATTTTATAAGTAATTTGAATTTGTTAAACAAAATGGAACTATTAAGCATTTAAGTGCTCATGTTTCAAATTAATAAAATTTTTTCCCACATTTCTCTATTTTATAATAAAAAATAAAATAATTTGTGAAAACATTTTACCAGAAAAATATTCTAGAATATTTTCATAATAACTTCATAATAAAGTGAATTTATTAAATAAATAAATAAAAGTAAATTTTTTTTAAAAATTACAATGTGATAATAAAGTAAAAGCTTTTCTAAGAGCTTATGAGAGCCTTTTCATAATTATAATATGTAGAGAAAATGGATGAAAACTCCTTTATCGTATATACTTGAACGAAATGAATATTCTTAATATTAGAGAAAAATGTACATAGCAGTAATGGAGCAGAGTAGATCCTTGTACGTTTTGTTATATTTTATATTTAATCCAATATATTGAGTGCTCACTTCACTGCTAATATATATACACTCGTATGTATGTGTACAAGGAGTTAACTTTTAAATAGAAAATTTGAAAGTTCATTTAAAGTTTAAACTTAGTTGCAGATATTCGAGTAAATAATTTTATGTTTACAAAAGTTAGACAACTAAAGCAAAAATTCAATTTGCGGTTAGAGTACATTTCATGTATGCGAAACTCCTAGGATGTACTTAAAAGCCATTGAAAATGCTGTATTTGAGTCCTTGCGGAAGCCGTAAATGGAAAAATTAATATGCAAGTACATCCTATATAAGCGGTAAATCAAGTTCTTACATGCGTTTTTATGGTATTTTATACAAATTCCAGTTGATTTGCGCAATTTCATAACAAAGTCCTTCGACGATATGACAATATATGCTAACAAGTGCTTAACTCCATGCTAAATAAATGCTGCCATCATAATCCTGGACGTACAATGCACTATTCCATGAAATGGTGTGCACATGTGGTTGCAGGATGCACAAACTGGCAAACATCGAAAAAACCGCAAATTTCCTCTGGGAAATTATATTGCATTGAATATTTTTATTTATTGAATTTAATGGAAAAGAATTTTGAAAAAAAATTAAAAACTCATTTTTATTTTTCTCGCATCCGTGTATTAATTTTTTTTATTTTCCATATATATAAAAATAATTTATTACTTATGGTATACGTATATAGTAGAAGATGTGTGAAAGAAGTTTATTAAAATTCCTCATGAAATTTTTCCATGTACTCTTTTCCATTCCATTTTAAAATATAATTCCAGAAATTAATTAATTATTTTATAAAGAGGTTTTTTTTAACAGTAGTGAACTACAACAACAAAAATTCATTTTGTATTATTTTAATTAATTGAATTTTTGGCTGACCATACAGCTGTTTCGAGTGTTGCCAAATACCCATCATCAGTGGTCTTGGAAATAATTCTTGTATTTAATTATTCGTAAATAATTATTTTTTGAGACTGCAAGTACCAAGAATTATTTTATTAAATTTTATCTCTCATTAAAAACACTTCATCTGAGCTCAACCACTAAAATTTATTTTTATTATTTCTTATTGTTTAATATTCGTTATATTTTCTCTTTACGTATATATTCTAATACCGTCTTTTGAACATTATGGCCAATAATTTATATAAACTCAAATCAATATATTTGAAAATCTAATAAATCTAATTTCAAAGGTATTGCAACCTCACTCATTTTGTTATTCGACTTCAAAAATTTTAGTACTTAGGGTGTCTATCGCCCATCCGATTTAGCCATTTTCCTTATATAAAATGATATGACTCAATATTTACTTTATACTGACCAAGTTGATAGACTAATCAGATTGATTTTTTTCTGCTTGGATAGGGGAGTCACGTGATCTTAAAGGTATACTCTAAGTATGTCAAGACGGTATTATTTAGTTTGTAGTCATGGAATACTGAACTATATGTCCAGGAATATAATAGCAGCATTAATTTAGTATTTCGTTAAGCACTAGCTTTATGGAGATTTTTTAGATCTGACGTAAAAATAAATGTCTTATACGTCTCTTAAATGAGTTTTAGTGCAAAAGACTAATATCCTAACCATATTTAACCCACACTGTAATACATGTTCAGTATTTTTTGCAACAAGTATCTGAAAATACTTTAAAATTTTTAAAAATTGTTAAAAGCTTCCGGTCTCAGGTAAGTAATTCTATCACATATATCTCCAAGCGCTCTAAATTTGTTATTAGTCTCTTTTTACATAAAATATAGACATTTTTAAACAGTATTCTCTGACCACTAATCTAAGCTGAAAATATTTATGAAGCGCAGTTTTCACTGTTTCTGTTTTATTACAATATCAATCTATCTATCAATTTGCTGTACCTAATGATTAAATTGCAGTGGCTAGTGTTAGTACCTAGAAAAAATGTAGTTGAGCAAATCCATTTCATAGCACTATCCACGTTGAGCAACAAACACTGGATACTGTATTCAACATAGTGTAACTATAGCGAGAGTCGTCAGCTACTGCACCCAGGGACTGTTGCCTAATCATATGTTGGAAATAATATCGTCTTGTGCTTTGCAATAAAGAAATTTTATTTACCACTAGCTGGCAATCTAGTATATTTCATAATATGAAATAAAGATACCGTTTTTTTTTATTTTTTAACATATTGTGACATGAGAAAAGAGTGAAAACGGAAGGATTCTGTTGCCTAGAGTATGACTTTATGAATATGTACTTTTGAAATGACAACTATTTTGAAAAACTTTTCCGTTTACGCCACATGTCAATAAAACTTAGTTTATGGGATATTGAGAGTTAGAAAGTTAAAGTTAAAGTTAGAAATTTTTATATAAAAACCATCAAAAATAAGCAAAAGCGTCTTGGAGATACGGGTGCTTAAGAATTTCCATTCAAGACTAATTTTCAAATTGTCACTTCTCTTATCTATTGTTTAAACTATTGGTTGTGCCAATACTCGAAACAGCTGTATAGTCAGCCAGAAATACAATCAATTAAAATAATATAAAGAGAATTTTAATCGTTATAGTTCACTATTTTTCGAGATCTCTCCAATAAATAGTTTATACAATTGAAAATGTTTGTATTGAAATAAATACTAATAAGAACGGGTAATTAAAGAATCAATATTCTTTTCTAAAATTGATTTTTAAAAGGTATTATTTTTAAAAATTTATCAACTAATCCAAATCGGATGTGAATTTTAGTCAAAATTCCTGTTATTTATAAATTAATGATACATTTGGAAGTTGACAATAGATGGCGTGTCAATAGAAATAGAAAGAGTTAAGAAATTGTCGATATCTGAAGAAGAAAACTATATTGACAAATACCGTAATGAAAGAAGTTAATCCTTAAATCGATGAACTCGGAAAAACGGGATCGCAAAATAAAAACAAAATATTTTGAAAAAAAAATTCAGAAGAATATTGTAAGGATCAAATTTAACGTTAAAAATTCAACCCCCACCAATTAAATTAATAATAAAAGTAAATATAGAGAAAATGACATAGAATGAGCTTTAAAATTTACTTGTTAAAATTCAATTAATTCCTTATGTAAAACTCAATTGCTTCAAAGCAACACTTTGTGTATTTCAAAATGTCTCTTGTCGCTTTCAGTGCTAGTATTTGGTGCAAAACAGCACCTTGTTTAGTTAAAATATTCCTTATCGCTTACAATAGTAGAATTATGGTGCAAAACAGCACTTTGTGTGCTTCAAAATGTTGCGTTGTCTCCTGCAGTGGAGGAGACAAATTCTGGCTTTCGTTCCATTCGTGATTTCGCACCATTGCAGGTTTGGGCTTGCTGGTTTTGACAACTCCAACGATTCCCAAAGGTTACAACGATCCCAACGTTTCCAACGCTGTCCAAGGATTTCGACGTGGTATTTGGGATTTCGCACCATTGCAGGTTGTACATTGCTGGTTACAACGATTTCAACGTTTCCAACGCTTTCATTTTTGATCATAAGATATATTAATCTATTAGATTAATCTAATATATATATTAGATTATACATCTATTAATTTATTAGATTAATCTAACATTAATGTTAGATTATACATTTATTAAATGTTAAGAATCTGTAATTGAAATTCGCATACATTACTAGCTGCGATAAAATCTTGAAGTCCATAATGTAAGATTCTCTATATAATTCTAGATTTCTGTAATATCACAAAAGTAAAAAGTAACATAAGTGTTTTATAAGAAGTCATATTCTATTTTATTCATAATATTAGAAAAATTTATTTATACGGATAACTTATAATGAAAATGAATTAATAAAACCAATTTAATCAACTATATATACATATATATACTATATATATATAACATATTAAGTCCCTTTAAATAAATGAAATTTCTCCGTATAAAATTACTTTAAAGCGATTTTTTAGTACTCAACGAGGAACTAATTAAATAATAATTTTTTATTTAGATTACCTCCAACCTTGATGTATTCCTACGACGGTTTAATGAGCTGCAGTACTGGATTGTATCTGAAATTGTTTCCACTCCCAGCATGAGTAAACGCGTTGGGCTACTAAGAAAATTCATTAAATTAGCTGCATAGTAAGTTTCATTAAAACTAAATTTTGTACTTGTATTTACGAAGCGTAGTAGATTAATTGTGAATTTAGATACAAATGAGTGCTTTCCATACTCCAGATACTCACTCACGCACATATCCGTACCAGAATATGTAGTGAGATGTGTACGTTGTGTATTGAATTTCACTTTGTTTTACTTTATCTATTGGCTTTCGAGCCTTTCGATTTTCAATTTATGTTGCTGCAGAACTGAAAAGCAATCTTTGTTCAATTAAAAATCCACTTTAATGCATATTCATACTGATGTGTAATTACAGCTGCAAGGAGTACCAAAATTTGAATGCTTTCTTTGCCATTGTAATGGGATTATCAAATATGGCCGTTTCACGTCTACAACAGACCTGGGATAAAATACCATCGAAGTTTCGTAAACTATTTCAAGAGTTCGAAGCACTCATCGATCCTAGTCGCAACCATCGCGCATATAGGGTTTTCGTGGGTAAATTGCAACCACCAGTAATTCCATTTATGCCACTATTGCTCAAGGATATGACATTCGCGCACGAAGGCAATAAAACCAGTCTAGATGGTTTGGTGAATTTTGAGAAAATGCATATGATGGCACAAACGATGCGTACGATACGCTTTTGTCGGTCGCGTAGTTTAGGTAAGTGCAATATACTTCAGTGCAAATTTATATAACATTATTAATTTTCAATTTTATCGACACAGGTCTTGAGCCGCCATCACCTAAAAGTGAGGGTGAAGTTCGCTCGTACATTAGCTGCTTACGTGTCATTGACAATCAACGCGCCCTAACCGCAATGTCGCAAAAAATCGAACCAACGAGGAAAAATTAAAAAATTACTGCAACTAATAATCGAGTAATTGAGTTCAAGAATTTATAGCGAACAGATTTTAAAGTATTTATTAAGTAAAATTGTAAAGTAAATTAAGTTACGTGGTGTATGCTGTTCACACCTACATTAAGACTGAAAAGTTTTCGGAAATTCTCATTTAAAATTCGCGCGCTGTATATTTTTCGATATTTTAAGTTTATGTAGTTTGGCAGCACTGTCCTTAATTTCTATGCCAAAAATGAGCGCGATCTGTCAGACAGTTCGTTTACGGCAGCTGTTGAAACCAGTTCACCTCAGTAGTGCGTTGCGAAATGTCTTCGACGGTCTTACGACCGTCCTGAAAGGCTTTGTACCACTCATAAACTTGAGTTTTCGATAAAACTGATTCCCCATAAGCCTTTTGTAGCATTCGCAACGATTCTGCACACGAAATTCGTTCGAAACACAAAATTTGATGCAAACTCTTTGTTCAATATTTTTTTCCATTGTTTTTTTCGCAACGCACTACTGAGGTGAACTGGTTTCAACAGCTGCCGAAAACGAACTGTCTGACAGATCGCGCTCATTTTTGGCATAGTAATTAAGGACAGTGCTGCCAAACTACATAAACTTAAAATATCGAAAAATATACAGCGAGCGAATTTTAAATGAGAATTTCCGAAAACTTTTC